TCCAGCGGCCCCGGGGCTGGCGTCCGGTGGGGTTGCACCGGACACCCGCTTCGGACGGCTTGTTTTTAAATTAGGCGAGGGGTCCGGAAAACTTTCTCCTGGCGCTTGGGCGGCGGCGTGGCCGTCGGCAGGAGAGCTGCTGTCGTGTCCCGGGTGCTGTGCCAAGCACCGGGGTGCGGGGGCACGCGGTTCGGGTGCGTTCTGCTTTCTCATCCAAGGTGTTGCCTATCCCTGCAAGCCCTGTCTCTTATCATCAGGCAGTCGCGGTTCAGGCACCAAAACGCGCTGGTTTATGTTGTTTACGAGCGGCGCGGGCTAAGGTGCTTCATTTTAGGTGGTGAACGCCTCTGACAGAGGGAGGGTTGCGTGGTCAAGCGCCTGCATTACTGCGGTCTGCAGCAGCCCCAGCTGTGGACGAGAACCTTCCTGTGCCGTAGGCGTACGGGGACAGGACGAGCGATACTCCGTGCTCCGAAAAGATCACGGTCTAAATATAAAATGGGACACGGGCACGTGGAAAGCACGAAAAATGTATGGGGCGGTACTGGTCAGCGTGGTGGGCTTCAGTCTCGCTATAACGGCACAGTATCTGTCATTCCTTATTGGATGTCATTGCAAAGGAGAACTTTAATGAAGGTTTTTAATGGCTCAGCAGATTTTTCTCTGTATTATTGGCCTCAAATGGGTGGCTCTTGGGAGACAGAAATAAGATTGTACTCCTACTAGCAGTGCTGGAACAGGAGCTGGAGTTGAGATTTGCTCTGGCTCTTGCACCAGCTACTAAAGGGCTAAAATTTGCCTTTCGTATGCCTGCCCGTAGCGCTGAACAGCGTCGACTTTCGTAACCCAGAGCAAACTGGGAAGAGGAGGGAGCTGGTACCGGTATAACCGGGCAGATCGAGTTCTCCTTGCAGTCTTTCCACTTCTCAGGCGAGAATAGAAAAGAACCCAGGCTGACTTTCAGGTCACCTGGGGGAGTATGCATAGCTTAGAGTTTAATTAAAAAAGTCTTAAACTTGGCAAACTCGGTGTGGATTTATATTGACACAATAAAGACAGAACCCTGAAGTGTCGTTTTTAGAATTTACTTTCTGAACAGAGGTTTGATGGAAGACTAAGCTGCTTATAAATCAAAAAGAAGCTTTGCTGAAGCAATTTCATGGGGAGATGTGGGTGTATATATTAAAAAAAAAAAAAAATACACTAAGATGGCATTTTGCTCTTCCTAAATAAATAGCGGGGAGTTTTGTGAAGTTTTTTAAACTTCCTGCTCAGTTTTCTTAAACTGAATAAGCTGTTAGTGTTGAAGCTACTTGCCGTGTGGACCGTTTCTTATCCCAGATTTCAGCAGAAAGTCTGAAGGTTTTAAACTGAATATTCCTTGGCCTTTTTATGATAGTTTATCTGTAATGGTGAGTATCGCTTCGAGAGTTTGGGCAGCTACCAGGCAATCATTGTGGGTCCTGATAAAGCTGTGGCTGCGAACGGCCTGGGGGGTGGCCGGGGTCCCTGGGGAGGAAGGGCGGTGCGGCACCGGTGACGTTCCCATAAGGGCTGATGTGTGGAGATCCGTAACGTTTCCCGCTTTTTTTGCAGGGGAATGAAGATTGCCCCAAACTCGGGCAGGAACGACCTTGGTGTGTGAAGTATGCCCCAAGCTGATCTAGTTCAGTCCCCCGTGCGACTACACGTCTCCTGAGATCCCCTGAATTGGGTTTGTGAACAAACACACAGGCAGCTTTTACGGTACGTGTTATTGCCTAGTAAATTCCTAAATGCCTGAGACGGGGCAGCGCTGGGGTTACGGCTCGCTGCCCTGGTCCCTTCCCTGGTGTGCCGGCCCCTGCTCAACGCACCACCTTTGCCTGTCCTTGTCCCTGCTCTCGAGTCTTGTCTTTTCAGCACCAAGGGTGCAAGGAGGTCTGCTAGAACCGTCCCTGCTAGGGACGCGCAGTGCCCTTTTGTAACAGGAGATTTTCTTGTCGGTACTCTAAAAGGTGAGGTTGGGTCCAGAGGCATCTGGATAATCTGCTTGCCCAGCAGCTGATGTTGCTTGGGAATAAACGACGCCAGTGCTCCATCAGAGGCCTGGGGTCCATCGCGTGCCCTTGTGAGACGAGCGGGGCAGGAGCTGCCCTGAGCGCAGCTGGGGATCGGGCAGTAAGAGGTGAGACTGTGGTCTTTATTAAGGCTGACATTTCCTATGATTTGCTAAACTAAATTCATTAAAGGGTGTTAAAACAGTGAATTTATTTCAGAGCTTTAACGTGAATTGGATAATTGGGTATGTTTTTGTGGGAAAGGGGATGCTGTAGTTTCTGGTAGCTGTGGCAGCCTCTGGAAGTGCCAGGAAGATTTGTTCATCTTAGGTATTTTGTTTGGCTGGAACAGCAGTTCATCCAAAATGACGGTGTCTGAGTTTGGAGAAAAAACTAAATTGTTTTCCTCTCTGTAGAGCAGGCTTTGGGCCGAAATCTACTGGTTCTACAGAGGCTGCAGCAGCCAACAGCCAGCTTCACCTTACGGATATTTTTCTTGTTTGCGCCGATTGCTCAGGACTGTCTCAAAGTGCTTTAATTACATGTGTATGTAATACGTAGATAAGCTCTACGTATCCCCGTGTAATGCAGTTTCAGTTAACTAATAAAGCTACTGTCTAACCTTGGCTTCTTGTCTTTCCGTCAAGTTTTAATTTTCATCCAAAGTCCGCGTAGTAAATGAGGAATGAGAACAGAAAATGGTGAATGGTGCTGCCTAGCTTCGTTAGGCCATGAAATGGTGTCTCCTTGAAGGTGTCGATATCATATCCTCCTGGTCGGCAAAGCAGCGATTTTAACGTTCAGCCTACATCTCTTCACAAACCCATTTTCAAAGGCTCTTGCCTTTTTCTTTATACTTACTTCAGCGTGGGTTTAGGAAATCTCAATGCAAAGGGCCGGAGTTGCTACGTTTTACGTCCTTGTTGGGGTCTGGGGCCGTAAAGACCCTCCAACGCTGCGGCCAAGCAGCCCCCACCTCCTGACCACGGCGTTCCAGCTGTGAGGGTGGGAGGAGGAGGATGGGGAGGCGCAGTGCCTTCGGG